CCCGCACATCAGTTTTCTTTTTCTCTTTAGTAGAAGGTCCGGGATCTCTTTTTGAATACTATGGTCCTGGTTCACTTTCATCTGAGTTTTGGATTTCCAGTTCCTTTTCTTTTTCTTTCCTTTTCCTTATATTTTTTCTCTCCCACTTTGTGACTTTTTTAACTGAATTAATTCCTGATTTTGCTGTTCAATTTTTTTATTTTGTTGGGTGATGAGCTCTAACAGCTGTTGAGTAGTGGGTGGATTTTCATTGCGCAAAGAAATTGAGATTTGGATGTTTTGCTTCTAGTATCAACCATGTTTTTTATTTGTAGAGAAGTGAGATTCAAAATTTATAGATCCCCATAGACGACACCAATGATTAGTCCAATCCAAGATAGGATGAGCCAAATCACACACAGTTGAAGGTTGAAGGTTGTGGGCCTCAAGGCTGTTGTAAGATAGTCTGACTCGACGATGGGATGGCTTCTCCTTGAAGTGTCTATGTTGTAACTTTGGCGCAATGGAGTGACTGGGGGTGATGCCTGCAAAGACACTCCGACACTCAAGTCAATATCATTGCAAGGTGTATATCGTTCGTAATGGAGAGAGATGTGTATACCTGGGCTTGTACCCTCTATATTTATAGGGTGTTATGTGCTGTCCTTTGTGGGCGGCATCTCTTCTTATTGGTTATTTACGGTGGCTGTTCTTTTGTCAAAGTCGATATTTTTCAGACTATTTCTTGATGAACAAGTGTAAATGCTAGTCTGTCTCCTTAAAGTAGTCGAAAGTTGGAGCTGTCTCATTTATACTGGCTCTTATGTGCGACCGACTTTATCAAATTACTATGGTCTTCCTTCGTCTTTAAGTTTTACCCCGCGATTTAACGCGAGAGAATGAATAATGAGGACATTGCGCCCATCGCCTTTGGGCCCTTCCTGGATCTCTAACTATTGAGCCTGTATTTTATCCATATCACCACCAAATGCCAGCAACAAAAGCTTTTTAATTAGTGTAGTGTCATTAATTGGAGAGATTCTTATTTGTTCTAGATACATTTCAACATTCCACTAAAAATGAAAAACATGACATGAATAAGAGTTAATGTTTTTCGTATTATAAGAAATAATTTCATTTTTTATATACTATATTTTTTTTTCTCTTTTTTCTCTTTATATAGATTCCATATATTTTTATGTGTGTAGAAGATAAAATTATTTTTCATCGAGAAATATTAATCCCTATCAATAATTGTTAAATTGTTTAGAGCAATATCCTAGGAGTATTTTATAATTTATCCATTGCTTGGGCGGCAGTCGCTGCAATCACATCCTCAATTAAAAACGTGTGCCTTTCATGGTCAAAGATTGTGTCCTCAAAGATAAAATTTTCGGACAATAAATTTGGACATGAGTTGGCTTCGTGGTACATCTAGTAGAAGTTGTGATTAGACTAGATGTACCATGAATATATATATATATATATATATATATATATATATATATATATATATATATATATATATATATATATATGGAAAAATATTTCTCAAGCTGTTTGAGATAAATTTGTTTTCGGCCATCCAAAACTACGTCGTTTTGATTATTTATTTCCTTTTATGTATTGATTCACCTTTGAATGGTTATGATTCTCCTTTTCTCTCGCTTCCTTTATCACCATTGATCCATCTTTGTACGGTTATGATTTAGCAGCCGGAGATAACTTTATCTCTTGCAGCTTGAGAAATGATAAGCCCATATATATATATATATATATATATATATATATATATATATTAGAGGTGTTCATCAACTGATCCAAACTGCGGTGACCGAATCGAAAAATCGGTAACCGAATAAATTGAAAATTGAAAAATCAAAAATAAAAAAAATCACAAATTTTAATTGGATTGGATCGATTTTTGGATGGTTGATGAAAATCGATCTAATCCAAACCGATCCAATATATTAATTTTCCTTTACCTACTTGGATCTTTCCCTAATCATAGCGTAAAAATTTCTAAACCCAAGACCCATTAACCTATCAACTAAATTCAAGAAAAAATCTAGTCACATCTCATCAACAAAATTTTATCTTTGTAAATGTTCATATCTCATTGCCAAAAAAAAAAATATATTATAGTTTACTAATGTTTTTGTATTTAATTTTTATTTACAAAGTCAATATATACAAAAGATGTTATTTGCACAATAATCATGAAATAAATTTTAAGATTTTCAAAAAATCAAAAATCGATTCAATCCAAATCGAAAAAAATTGGATTAGATTAGATCAGATTTGAAAAAAAATCCAAACCGAATGGATGATTATATGATCAAACCGAAGGGATTGGATCAGATGATTTTTGCTTCCAAAATCGATCCAATCCAGATCGCGAACACTCCTAATATATATAACACATTAGTATTTTAATTGCTTAAAATATAAAATTAACAAAAGTAACAAAATAATAAAATTTTTTAAGTAACTTTATTGTTACTATTATTTTGTTACTTTTGTTTATTTTATATTTTAAGCAATTAAAACATTAATGCGTCAATTTATTATTATTTGTTATAAAATATAAAACTAAAACAAACTCAAAAAAAGTTAATTATGAGGCACAATTTCGAGGTAGAAAAGATACAAATCCAAACCAAATTAGTTGGATGCAATTGTGCTGCGGAGTTGGTATCTAAAAAATAAATCTATTTATATACTTTATACCTTAATTCATAACTCGTATTTAGTAAATCACCATTAAATTGTAATTAGGGGTGTAAATGAGATATATTGACTTAGAGAGACCTACGACTTAACTTATATTAGGTTAAATTTGACATATTACAAATAATAAAATAAAACAGGTCAAAGTTTAAAAAAAATATCTATTTAGAAAATATGCCATAGACTTTTTTATACATGCGGACCTATAAGCTTACTGGCCGGCCTATGTCATATTATTTATTTTAATTAAAATAAATAAAATTATGATTTTAATAATTTTGAATAATAAAGTAATATTATTTTAATTGTTGAAAGTTTAATAAGTTTGAACATACTAACAGGCCTAGACCAAGATTTTTTATTTTTGAGTAAATATTCTTTTTGATCCTCAGCAAATTTTACGATGTCCGCTTTAGTCCCTAACAAATAAAAAGGCTATTCATGGTCCCTAAAAAATTCAGAGTGGATCCATTTTAGTCCTTTTGAGGGATTAATGTGAGTCTTTTTTGAATTTGTGAGGGACCACGATTTCAACTAAATGAATCTATTTTGAATTTCTTAGGGACCACGAATAACCTTTTCATTTGTTAGGGACTAAAACGGGCATCGTGAAATTTGCTGAGGATCAAAAATGATATTTACTCTTTATTTTTTAAGTATAGATAAGGTCAGACTTGTAATTTAGGACTTACACATGCTAACATACCAGACTAGACCCAATATTTTTTATACAGACGTGACTTATTTAAATCAAAGTCTAGCCTAACATAATCTATTTACACCCCTAATAGTAATACACCCATGAAACAAAATACTTTCAGAATTAGTTTTAAAAAATTGTGAGAAAACATTAAAATTGGATCTATTGTTATTGCCTCAAATATATGAGCATTCCAATACAAAATATTTTGCTCTGCATTTATTGTCTTAAAGAGCTTGCAATACATCATTGAAATAAAATTAGAAGACAATTCATGATAAAAAAGTATAAAAATGAGGATGACCTTAGTTTTCTTGATTTTGTACAATTACGACCCTAATATGGAATCATTCCAAATCTGATTTAGAGCTTCCGCACATTTTCTTTTTTAGTTAAAAGTTAAAAGAAGTTAAAAATTATTTGATGATTATATAAAATATTTTTTAAAGTTTGAAGGGATAGATGAAATGATTTATAATTAGAACAAATGACTAGGATAAGAAATTAAAAACAAAACCTATAGGCACTTACTCCATTGCTTGTGTGGAATATAAACAAAACGGAGACGTACGGAAGATTAGAAGACTATCAAAGTTATAAAAAGCAATAAAAAAAATTAAAATAGATTTTCTTTTCTTTCAAGTTAAAAATAGTGATCTAATTAAAACAAGTTAATCAAGTAACATATTTTATAATGGAAAAATATTTCTGCAGTTAATGCAGATAAGTTATCTGTATTTATTCTCAAAACGACGTCGTTTTGGTATTGAAATCTTAAAAAATTATAAATATAAAGACTATTATAACCCAGAAATAAACTAAAATTACAAAAACACCATGATTTCCGTCCCAAAACGATGTCGTATTGACTTACTGCAGATAAGTTATATGCAGTAACTGCAGAAAAAGCGAACTCTTTTATAATATACTAATTAACTAGGTTAACGTTGATTTTATCATGTACTTAGGTAGTGTTTGGTAGAAGATTTATTTTGAGATTGATGGAAAAGTGTAAGTGGATATTGGAAAATATCACGTTTGGTTCACGTTTTTAAAAAAATACTAGGCAAATAGGATAGATGGGGAAATGACTTTTGTGTTGATTTTTGGATGAAATTCACTGTTACAGAATACCACTGGAGATGTGGTATTTTGAGATAATTGGGAGAGTGAAAAAACAGATGCGAAGTTTCTCCGAACATAGATTTTACAAATTTAAATAAATTTCCCTGATAATATTTCGGTCAACCAAACAACTTTTCTTAAATTTTCTTACCAAACTCACTTTCCAACCATTTCCCTATCAATTACATTTTTCTAGTATTCAAAAAATTTCTCCTCAATCAAACGCTCCCTTAATGTAATTGATTTTATAATAAATATATTTAAAGATATGATTTTATAAAATCTTAAGTCATTAATTAAGATATATTGTGATATCTTTTTCGATATTCTATAAAACTAAACAGTTGATTTTATACTAAATACAATTTAAAGAGATAATATTATAAAATATAAATTTTATATTGGTTTTGGATCTCTCTCCTATTATTCTATAAATATAGCTTTATTCCCCTCTGTGGTCTTCTTATTATGAATCTTCTAGAAGAAAAAACGCATAATCGTACTCTGGATCCAGGAAGAGTTCCATGGAAGCCTCGCTCCTCGCGAAACCCTATTGTTCGATCGTCACGCGATCGGTGTGGTCCTCAAACCTCGATTCGGAGTTCGATTTGATCCGCTCCGTCATTGATTCCTACCCTCTCATCGCCATGGACACCGAATTCCCCGGCGTTGTTGTTCGCATCCACGGCGGCGCCGCCGGAGGTTTCCGACACCAGAATCCCGCGGATCACTACGCCGTACTTAAGGCCAACGTGGACCGCCTGCACCTGATCCAGGTCGGACTCACCCTCTCGGACCGCGACGGGAACCTACCGAACCTCGGAACCTCCGAACGCTTCATCTGGGAATTCAACTTCAGGGACTTCGACGTCGCGCGTGATCCCCACGCGCACGACTCGATCGAGCTGCTTCGCAGCCAGGGCATCGATTTCGACAGGAACCGGGAAATCGGTATCGATTCGGGGCGTTTCGCGGAGCTCTTGATGTCGTCGGGGATCGTGTGCAACGACGACGTGAGATGGGTCACGTTTCACAGCGCGTACGATTTCGGTTACCTGGTGAAGGTGCTGACGCAGCGCGCGTTGCCGAAGGACCTGGTCGATTTTCTGCGGCTCGTGGTGGTTTTTTTTGGGGATAGGGTTTTTGACGTGAAGCACATGATGAAGTTCTGCTCGAACCTCTATGGCGGTTTGGACCGGGTTTGCAAAACCCTGAATGTGGACCGGGTTGTTGGGAAGTGCCACCAGGCCGGTTCGGATAGCTTGCTGACACTGCACGCTTTTCAGAAGATTAGGGATGTTTACTTTGGCAACAAAGATGAAGGGTTGGTTAAGTTCGCTGGTGTTTTGTATGGTTTGGAAGTTTAGTTCTTTGGCTATGGAATCTAATTTTATAAGGAATAATTTAATATAAAATTATAAAAATTACCTGTTGATTTGTTTATTTCTTTTTCTTTACTAATTGCATACCTTTGGGTTATCAATGAAATTAGTTCTTTTTTTCTTTCTATTACATTTATGCAAAAATGAAGTCTCATTGTAGAGAGAATAGAGAGAAAAAGCTAATGTAACCACTTACTTTTATATGAGTGTGTTGCAGCAATAACAGGAATTTTATTCCCATAGTAAATACACAATTACTGATGCACTGTAATAAAATTTAACAAGAGGAAGCAAGTCTCATCGATTTCAAGTTAACAAATTTTGTTCCCATACAAGTAGTTAAACCCTTGCTTGTAAGGAAGCTGCGAGAGAGCAAAATTATTTTCATCTTCTGCAAATTCATTATTAATATTGTACGGAATGATATGATGCTTACTAGAAAATTTTGTGTTGATGCATGTTCATTGATCCATAAAGCTATTTCTGTGTTATTGAAGACAAAATGGGGTCTAGGCCCTCTTAGTTGACTCCAATTCATTTTGGTTGAAAAACCTTCCCTAGTAAATAAAACTCACTTATTTAAGATGTATTCCAGTATTTGGATGATTTCTATCTTTGGGTTGCAAAAGCTGCTTAATTGAAGAACATAGCATGTATGCTAGATTCAATGGCAACATGTTTCTTGGCTTTTGGATGAAAAACATAATAGTTGAAGAGCATAGCATGGATAGTAGGTTCAATTCAATTGCAACATGTTTCTTGGCTTATGGATGACTTTTATCATTGGGTTGCAAAGACTGAATTTTGTTGAAGAGCATATAATGTATAGTAGGTTCTTTTGCAACATCCCTTTGCCTTCTTTCCTTGCAGTTGCATCTTTTTCTTAAAATTTAATTAGACAGATAAGAACCTGTCATTTAATTTTATTTTTTTATTTTTTAAAAAAATTTCTTTCTACATATCAATGTAGCTTGTAAAACCTTTATTAAATCAAACGAATAAAAAATGTGCTCCAGAATAGTTGGTTATACTTTTGGAACTTGTTGCAAGTAAATATTCAATTATCTAATCTGGTATGCTTTCTCAATAACCCCTCCCCCTCTCCTCCTCCTTACTTCCTGGAGAATGCTATTGGTACTATAAATATAAGCCATTCTCATTTGCTATATACTTTTCTTGTTCCACTGATTTTTTGTTGTCCCGAGGAAAGAATCTTGCTGGTGGTCACTTTTGTCTGGAAATATCACTAGAAGCTCTCGCTGAGTCTTGTGGCATGTCTTGACTTTGGAATGAGGCAACTTCCCCTAAATGTTCCCTCATGAAAAAAAAAAGGTTCCGAGGGAAACAACTATGGTTGGCATAACAGATTCAGTCTTGTATTTAAACTTCTAAGGTTGATTGCTAGTCGCTGAACTAATATTTGATTAGACAATATGTGCAAACTTTCCTGCATTATGCTTTTCAATTTTGCTATTTCTTCATTTTATGGTTCTGAAGATATTTTTTTTATTTTAAAACCAAGGAAATAAAAAACGAAATTACAGACCCCTACCTACATGAGACCAAGGATCACTTCTGTGATCATTTAACAGCAAACTAATACACTCCTCGGGGGGTGTATCTAACAAAACTAAACCCCAATCAAGAGAAATTGCCATATTAGCAAATCCAATCTGCTACCCAATTTCCTTCCCGGAGCACATGAACCAAATCCACTTGCCAATCAGAGGTCAACATATTGCTTGCTTTGTTTATCAGTCCCACCAGAGGATGATTCTCAGCTACCCCATCTTTTATCATTGCTAACGCCACATGAGAATCACTCTCCATGATTACCCTCCTGAATCCAAGCTCCCAAGCTGTTTGGAGACCCAGGTAAATCCCCCAGATTTCTGCTTTCACTGAATTACAAGGACCCAAATTCTTGGCAAAGCCTTTAAGCCACTGGCCAGAATTGTCTCTCACTAGCCCACCACAACCACTGTGCCTGTTACCATGCTTAGATGATCCATCTGAATTTACTTTCACCCAGCCGCACGGAGGAGGAATCCATTTCATTAGGCTCTCACATATGGGTTTATGCTTTAACCCAGCTTTCCTGTACAGAAATTGTGCCTCATCAAAATTCAACAAAAACGTCTGGGCCAGCCTAACAGATTTCTCAGCACTCACTCTTTGATTCTCAAAAATAAGTTCATTTCTACCCTTCCAGATGAACCAGCATATTAAGAGCCAAAGAAAATATCACCCCTGACTCCTCCCAGCATGCACGACTTTTCTTCTAGATTTTTGTCCAGCCACGGTTGAAAGGGGAGAGAGTAGAAGTCAGCCCACAAACCTGGATCGATCACCATGTTCCACACTTCCTTGGACCAGATGCAATCTCTCATCACATGAAGGCAGCTCTCAGGAGCATCATGGCATCTAGAACAAATGCTGGTGGTAGCTAAATGTCTCTGGACCCTCTTTTGGTTAGTAGCAGGTTCTCCCCATACAGCAGCCACAGGAAGCTCTTGACCCTTGGAGGTCCATCCCAGCTCCAAATCCTATCCCATTGGAAATTCAGTTGGGTCACATCTTCATCATATAACATCTTCCAAGCCGATCTAGTTGAGAACTTCCCATCTTGGGAGAAATCCCACACCACCCTGTCTTCATCCCCATCAGGATCAGGAGGGCAAACAACTGCAATAGCCTGCAAGGCTGCCTGTGACAACACTGCCTCAAGCTCCTGCCACTTCCAAAATCCCCTTGAATCCACCATGCTAGTTATATCTGCATCTCTGCTGGACAGTGGAATTTCCTGGATCGTGTGGTTTTCCAAAGGCCCAATCTTCAGCCATTTACTCTTCCAAAAAAGGGTTCCTACTCCATTTCCCAACATGATCCTTGATCCTTCATAAACTTTGGGCCACACCCTATGGAGACCCGACCAAAGATTGGAAGCAACAACCTTCTTAGGAATATTTGGAATTAAACCATTTTCCACCTTGTATTTATTTTTAATCACCTGAACCCAGAGATCATTTCTACCAGTTAGGATCCCATGACCAACTTTCATTAGATTGGCTCTATTATTTATTCTCAAGCTCCTGATCCCCAGTCCACCATCTTTTTTTTTCTCTGCAGACCACACTCCAAGCAGTGGCATGGGTTTTCCTCTTCTCCTGGCTTGAGCCCCAAATAAATCCCCTCATCTTCTGTTCTATTGCATCACAGGTACCTGCAGGAATCAAAGCTGTTTGCATAGTATAGTTAAGAAGTGCAGCCAAGACTGAATTCGTGAGGACCACTCTACCAGCCATGGACATGGATTTCTCCTTCCAAGCACTTAGCCTGCTGTTTGTTTTTTTCCAAAATGTGTCTAAAAGTACTCTTGCTCACTCTTTTGTGAAGAATAGGAACTCCCAAGTACTTTCCTAGATCAGCAGTGATAGAACACTTCAGGGGCTGACTCAATTCACTTTTCCTAGTGTGATTGACATTTCTGGAGAAAAAACATCTGGTTTTAGCAAGGCTGATCTTCTGGCCCGAAGCCTTGCAGAACTAGTCCAGAATATTTGCAATGAGCTTGGCTTGACTCAAACTAGCATCAGCAAATAAGAGCATGTCGTCTGCAAAGAACAGGTGTGATAATGGGGCCCATTCCTTCCCAACTTTACAGGACTCCAGCCTTTCTGCTCAACAACCTCATTAATCAAATGCCCCAATCTCTCAATGCATAAAACAAATAAATAGAGAGATAGGGGGTCCCCTTGTCTAACCCCTCTTGTAGACCTAAATTCTTCTGTTCTGGTACCATTCCACAAAATGTCCATAGAAGATGAAGTCACACACTCCATAATGAGTTCCACCATTGATGTAGTCAAACCAGTTAGGATGAGGGTATCCTTCAAGAATTTCCAGTTTACCCTATCATAGGCCTTCTCCAAGTCTACCTTGATGGCCATCCACCCTTTTTTTCCCTCTCTTAGACCTCATAGAGTGAAAAATCTCTTGGCTAATAATTATATTATCCGAAGCATGTCTACCCTTTATAAAGCTACACTGGTTGGGCATAACTAAGGAGCTCATGTGATTTTTCAACCTGGATGTTATCACCTTCGTGACTATTTTGTACACAACATTGCATAAACTAATAGGCCTGAACTGGTTTATCATCTCTGGAATCTCTACCTTAGGAATCAAGCAGATAAGGGTCTGGTTTATGTTGGACACTTTTTTGGGTCCTCAAAAATCTCCCTAATTAGCTCCACAACAGAGAACCCCACTTTCTCCCACTGGGTTTGAATAAAAATTGCATGCAGCCCATCAGACCCAGGGGCTTTGTATGGATGCATGCTAAAGATAGTGCTCTTAACCTCCTCAGGTTTCGGAATACTACCAATACCTTTCCAACTCCCATTTTGAATCACATGAAATCTATTCCCAATGTTAAGATCAGTTAAAATACCTTGACTTTCCTCCACATACAGGTTCTTGAAGAAATTCCTGGCCAACAACTTAAGTTCTTCAGGATCCTCAACCCAGATGCCATCCTCTTTTCTCAAAGCCTTGATCTTGTTCCTCCTGCTTCTGGCCACTGTAGCAGCATGAAAAAATCTGGAATTTCTGTCCCCAAAGGCCAGCCAGTTACACCTGGACCTTTGGAACCAGGTTAATTCTTCCTGAATGTAATAAGCATTCAGTTCCTGCCAAAGTTTCCTATGGAGCCTCTCCAGAGCTTCATTTGGTCCTTTGTTAAGTTGGATGTCTACTCCCCTCAACCTCCTTTGAATCTGGAACTTTTTTGTTTGCTCCTCCTTGAACCTACCATAATGCCAAGAAGTAGCATCTATGTGGAACTTATTCTTAGCAGAAGTCCACTCCACCTCCTTGTCCCAACAACCATCCACCACCTCACAGAAGCTAGGATTAGTTAACCAGGCAGCCATGAACCTAAAGGGTTTAGGACCATCAGAGGATAATTTTTCACTTGCTTCTTTTAGTATTATGGGTCTGTGATCAGATCCATAGAAATGGAGGTGACCAACAAATCTGTTTGGGAAACTCCTAAGCCATTCAACATTCCCAACCACTCTATCAATCCTTTCTTGCAATGCTCCTCTTCTCCAGGTAAACTTTGGGC